TTTGTTGGACGACTGTTTCTGTCGTCCTTCTCTATTGTCGAACCTCTTCCCGTCCGACTGTTTCATTGTACACAGATCAGTCGCCTGTATATAGGCTTCTGCTTCAATCAAGGCCTCTTGAAGAGTCGCCACCCTTTTTCGAACTAAATCAAATTTGAAGGTAGACCCGTCTTTGAGACCTCTAAAAAAGTCAGTATAAGCTACCTCATCCGGTAACCCTTGAATCTGTATTCTCATCAGGTTGAACCGCCTGATGTAGGAACGAAGCCCCTCCTTTTCACCCTGCTGAATTGTTCCCAAATCAAGGGTCGTTTTCTTCGCAGGGATGTTCATTGCAAAGTTGGAGGCAAATAAGTAAGCAAGCGTCCTGAAACTGTTTACACAACCAGTCGGCAGGTTGCCGAACCATTGCTGTGCAATTCCCTTGAGAGTTGCTGGGAAACACTTGCACCAAGTGGGATCATCCAACCCTTGAAGGTACATCAGGTTGGTGAATGCCATCAGATGGTCTTCCGGGTTAGTAGTGCCATCATAGGCGCCTACTAAAACATTTTTTACTTTGGCCGGCTGAGCGGCTTCAGTAATTTCCTTGGAGAAGGCCGACGGCTGTTCACCAAGTCTAAGCAGCCGTAGCTGCCAGTCCATAGGTTGGACGTTTTTTGCTGCAGGTCCACCAAATGGAGGTGGCTGCATAAAATATTGTTGTTGCGGCACAAATGGTAAATTTGGTACCGCCTGCGCACTATGAAAGCCAGACTGACGGGAGGTGCCGCCTGACTGACTCTCATGGTACGACTGAGTTGGCCTCATCGAGGCATTTCGCAAACTGTCCTGAAAATTTGAAGTAGAAGCCGACTCTGATAATCGGTCACTCTTCTTCTGCTCTAGCAGGTGCCGAGCATCTGTGAACGTTTGCTTTGACCCGTCCGCCTGAATATGACGAACCGGTTTCCTATTTCCCGTAGGATAACGGAGTTTTGTGAAATCAAGAGCAGACGGCTCCCGCTTCTTAGATTTAGGATGGGGAGTCGCCTCTCGCCCTTGAACTGGCTTCCTCTTCAGTGAAGTGGAAGGTTTTTTGGCCGCCTGCTCTTTGACTGAAGCAGGCGGTTTTTTGTTGATCAACTCTTGGATCTCTCCCTTGAATCCCCTCATGAAGGTCATGAGTTCGTTCCTTGTGATGGGAGCAGACCCATCAGTCGGCTGTTGCCGAGCAAGCGGTGCGCCTGCTGGCTCGCTTCCTGTTTGAAGATACTCCCGTTCCCTTATTTCAGTATGACGGGTACGGCGGGCCCTTAGGGTCCCGTCTGGAGCTGTATGAGTTTCAACTTCAAATTCACTTTCGGTATCATGGTCCGACTGAACTTGAGGGTCGTCTAGGGGACGCCTCTCTTCTGGGGTCGGTACAGACTTGGATGCCATCTCTGAAGTACTCTCCCCACAGACGGCGCCAAATGTTTCGGGGTTTTCTGATGTCCTGCGGGAGAGTTACAATTCCGAGACTGGAACCGGACGCCTGTACCTGCAAAATAACGGAGACTCCTGAGAGCTCCGCCTCCAACGGTCAAGTTAGTACCTGATTAAGGAGTAATTAATACAGAAATTAAAGTAATAAGGTCTCTCTAGGTGAGAGTATTTAATGTAGGTAATCTGCTTTGCTAGCGAGATCAGCCGGTTATTAGTGTGTTCCGTAATGTATTCGGTCCCTTGATTAATGAGGATTAATCGAGTATTTATAGCCTTGGGAAGCGTGCAACTCTCTAGGTTTAAGGTAAACCTAGGGCCGAACGGGCTTCTAGACTGAAATGGGCCTTGATGGCCGGTTGTCCCATTTGGCATGGGTGGACACGTGGCGTGTCTTAAGTGGTCCGTGGAGGACGCGTGGCGGAACCTGGTTGGTCCACTTGTCAAACGGCGCTTGGTGGATAAAAATCCCCTAATCAGGTATGTATCACATTAGCATACTGAGGAGAAAACAAACAAAACATAATAAGTTCACAATAAATTCCAAATTTCATCACAACTCACAAGAGACCTAGAACAACATTAATTTTTAGTTTTAAATAGAAAATAAATTTGTAAGTAGTGGTCCTCTCGATGTAGTATTCAAATATTAACGCTAAAATCCTTTCAAACATTAAGCCTTTTTTTTTAATCGGCTTGAGATTTACCAAAAAAAAAAACCTGATATTCATTACATACTTAGTATTTATTACCACACGCATATCATATATACATATCATTAATAAATAAATCCGAATCTCGCAGTCAGACTAAGAGACAACAATACTTGTGATTCTAATTTCTTGGCAAGTGTCACGCCATATAAGTGACAACTATGCATAAATATGCCACGTCAGATGTATGTGTAATATTTTGGAAATTTCCATATTTTAAAATACCGTTTTTCTCTAAAATAAAACATAAACTTAGGAAATAACCAAAATATTACCGCCACCGTTATAACGGCTAAGGTTTTTCAAAGTCACACAGCGGAAGACTAACTTTTGAAAACTCATATAAAATAAAGTTTAATAAATTAAAACAAACTCAAACTTTAAAGAGTAATCCCAGTTTCTCAAAATGAGAAACATGTCATGTATCTCAAAATGGCATAAGTGTAAATAAACTGAACTTTATTAATATTTTATTATTTATAATTGTACTTTTTTTCATCTTTTTTCTTTCCTCATCTTTTTCCCGGATCATCCAACCTACCTCCATCTTCTTCGTCCAATCCCAAACTAGTGAACGTGACCCACGAACCTCCATCTCCGCCTCCATCTTCGCCCTCAAGATTTCCTCTCGTGAACCACCATTTTCACCATCGTAATTCCGGCGACTTCACCGTCGAATTACACGAAAACCCTAAGAAATAATGGATAAATTATGGCATGGTTAACCCCAAAGGTTATGGGTGTTATCCTCCTCCATTAAAGCCGATTGTCGTGTTCAATTTCACCATTGTAATACATGCTTCTCCATTAAAGCTCTTCAGTTTTGCTAATATAGTTTGTTGAAGCTTAAGAGTTTTGATGATGATGAATAAAAGAAAAATTCAACTAATGCGATTTCTCTAAGTGTTTGATTAGAACAGGTGAGGTTGACTTTGGAAGTGGAAGAGTAACCTATCTATGAAGACTCAAGGAGATCTAAAGGAAAGTTAAAGAAAGTACAAGAAGAGTTCCTCACTAGAACTAACTATGATCCCTAACAGGAACACAAAGAGAAGTTCCCTAACAGGAGCTTGACAGAAAGCTGAGAAGATTAGCTTGGACTGTGTTGAAGACAGCAAGTTCCATAAGAACTTGACCTGCGAGTTCCAGTAAGGAGCTGGAGAATGGAAGACAGCGGGAACTCAGTCATGGTCTGCGTGAAGCCCTAGTATCCTTACAATACAATGATTGATGAGACAATCCAATTATAGAATAAAAGTCTTTTGTTAAGTTTATTTTTCTTAGGATTGTTGTAAATATGTTAGGAAAGTTTGTGCATAGAATCTATTAGAAGCGTGGCAAAGGCAAGCTAGTAAATATGGAAAGTTTATAAAAGATAAGTTTTAATTTTATGAAAAGATTTTCAAGAGATTTTATCTTATAGAATTCGATTTTACAAAATGTTATTCTTTTCTAAAATTATATCTTTATTAAGTTTTCCAAAAGATTTTCTTCTAAAATATTTACATAAGTGTTGTGATTATGAAAACGGTAGTTTATTAATTTCTATCTTTTGAAAATCCTACTTTACATACGAGTGCAACTTGTATATAAAGTAGAATTCATAATTGGCACAATGTGTGAGTTTATGCCTGAAGAATCTGAAAAGTGCTCAAAGGTGTAAGTTTTCCAAGTCTAAACTTTGTCATATTAGTTTCGGATTTCATATGTAGCTTTCCAATCACATATTAGAGTCAAGAGTTTGTATTGTTTTGGTATTGGGGTGAGTGTTTAGCATATTGCATACAGATTATAGGCTTCAAGGTTGAAGCTGAGTGTGTGAGTACTTGGGGAGTGGTGAGTGGAATCTAAGTCCGAGACTTAGATTGGGTAGGATAGGGTCCTATCGAGTAGCAAGTTCAGTCAGGAACTTGTGAGAAAGGTCTGATTGTAATAGTTTGTAACTAGGAGTGTTTGGCCTCTTATAGTGGATTGATTTGGTGTTTGAAATCCCTTGGAGGTTCGAGGTTTTACTTCTAATTGGTCCCTGGAAGGTTTCCTCGTAAAATCTTATGTGCAATGCAAGTTCTTTTATTATTCTGTTTTAATTCCACAAAAGTAGTCACAAGGAACTCACATACAATTCAACCCCCCTCTTGTATTGTTCGTCTCAACTAACAATTGGTATCAGATCACTAATTCTCGCGTTTATACAAATAACTTTGTTGAGTAAGTTCCTGAGGAGAGATGAATTATCGAGAGAAGCTTGAAGAAGGGTACTCTACCCAACGTCCACCTATGTTCAATGGTAGAATAACAAGATGGAGATTTTATCAAGGCTGAAAATTACCAGGTTTGGCGTGTTATTGAGTCTGGTGATTTTGAGGTAACCAAAATTAATGAGAAAAACGAGGTAGTTCCTATACCTTTATCTGATTTTGAAAAAGAAGATTTTTAAAAATTTGAATTGAATGCTTTAGCTATTAAATTGTTGCATTGTGGACTTAAATCCCATGAGCACAACAGAATCATGGGATGCAAGTCTGCTAAGCCAATATGGGATCTACGTGAAGTTACTCATGAAGGTACAAATGAGGTAAAACGTTCTAAAATTGATTTATTGATGTCTAAATATGAAAGATTTGAAATGCAACCTTAGGATCGGAAACCATAGAAGAAATGTTTACTAGATACAATGATATAATCAATGAGTTGGGTTCCCTTACCAGACATATTCCTATAGATGAACAGGCAAGAAAGGTTTTAAGAAGTCTTCCTCAAGATGAACGCTAGAGATCCAAGGTGACTGTACTGCAAGAAACCAAGGACTTCACAAAGTTCAACATGGAACAGCTGGCTGGATCTTTGATGACACATGAACTTCACTTAGGAACTAATGCTGAAAGTTCCAAGAACAAGAGTCTGGCGTTGAAAGCTCAAGACACTAATGAGTCAGAAGTTGATGAAGATGAGATGGCCATGCTGGTGAGAAGATTCAAGAAGATGCTTGGTAACAGGAAGTATGATAGGAACAAGAAATTTTCAAGTTCCAAAGAAACTACTTGTTTCAAGTGTGGTTTAAAAGATCACTTCATTAGAGACTGTCCTCTAAAGGAAAATGATAGAGAAAAGTTAAAAGGAAATGATCAATCAAAAGACTCCAAAGCTTACAAGCCACCTTTTTCAAAGGTAGATGTAAGGAAGGCTAGGATAGCTGCCTGGGGAGACTCGAAGTCAGAAGAAGAAGAAGAAGAAGAAGAAGAAGAAGAAGAAGAAGAAGAAGAAGAAGAAGAAGAAGAAGAAGAAGAAGAAGAAGAAGAAGAAGAGCAGCCATTAGAAGAATCAGCACACTTGTGTCTGATGGCCAAAACAGATGAAAAAGCCAAATCGAAGACACTAGAGGCTGAGGTATGGTTTACTTCTAATGAGTTAAATCATTTCTCTAAAGAAAACTTGATTGACGCTGTTTCGGAAATTCAAGGTGATTTAATGGACTTACATATAGCGAAAGCACCAATTGACAAGGATTTAAAAACTCACAAAGAACACTGTGAATGGATTGATAATAACGATTGAATACATGATAACATACTTATGAATGTGGAAATTTCTTTGTTAAAACTTAGTGGTACTACTCCTAACTATGAAGTTCCTCTTCTTGATCAATATCTAAATTTTGAAAAATTGAAATCCGATTTAGAAGAGTTAAAAGTGGATAAAGCAAGACTTAAGGGGGAACTAACAAGAGCTAGGAAGGGTAAGCAACCCATAGAGTACACTGTATCGGAATGGATAGCTAATGCTCAAGAAAAAAGAACTAAAGGTTTAGGATACATGAAGAAGTTCCACAAAAAAAAAAAAGAAGTATGTTGATCTGCGTAGTAGTATTATCTGTTATTTTTGTGGAAAGACCGGACATAAGCAAAACAAATGTCCTAAGAAAGATAAGTGCACTCTCAAGAATGAAAATCATGTTAGACAGATATAGGTTAGGAAATCTGATTCTACATCTGTTACACAGGTACCCAAGGAGACTTGGGTTCTTGACACTAACATTTGATTTTTCATGCAGGTTCCAGTGAGGGGGAACAACATGTGGTACTCCGACAGCGGTTGTTCTAAGCACATGATTAGAGATAAAACTAGATTTCTCTCACTGGACACTTACTATGGTGAGACTGTGACCTTTGGAGATAACATGAAAGGTGAAATTATTGCCATTAGAAAAGTAGGAAGGTCAAGTTCCCATGCTATTGATAATGTATTTTTGCTCGAGGATTTGAAACACAACTTGTTAAGTATTTCACAATTCTGTGACAAAGGTAACTCTGTTAGCTTTACTTCTAATTCGTGATGAATCATCAACAATGACACTGGGAACACTATACTAGAAGAAACTCGTAAAGGGAACACTTATAAAGTGGATCTCAACGAGGTTCCAAATAGTAGTTTAACATGTCTTAGTGTCATTAAGGATGATCCTCTACTATGGCATAAGAGATTTGGTTATGCCGGTTTTTCTTTACTTGATAAGCTTATATCTAAGGAACTTGTGGAAGGTCTTCCATTTATCAAGTTCCTAAATGATAAAGTTTGTCATGCTTGTGTTAGAGGAAGACCTAAATGATAAAGGTCTTCCCTGCCTCGTGTTTCTTTTAAATCTAAGAATATGGGAAGCACTAAAAGACCTTTAGAACTCGTTCATATGGATCTTTGTGGTCCAATGAGAATCCAAATCAGAAGTGGTATGAGGTATGTTATGGTTACATTTGATGATTTCTCAAGGTTTACATGGATTTTCTTTCTTGTTAGAAAAGATGAAACATTTGATGAATTCGTTGAATTTGTGAAGAAAGAACAGAGAAGAACAGGTAACCAACTAATTCATCTCAGATCAGATCATGGAACATAATTTGAAAACTATAAGTTTGATGAATTCTGTAAAGAACATGGAATGGACCACAACTTCTCTGCTCCTAGGACTCCACAGCAAAATGGAGTGGTAGAACGCAAGAACAGAAGCCTTGAGAATATGGCCAGAACAATGCTGATTTCTAGTGGTTTGCCTAGGAACTTCTGGGCAGAAGTAGTAAACACAACATGCTACATACTAAATCGATTCACTGTTAGAGCCATCACCAACAAGATACCATATGATCTTATCAAAGGGAGAAAGCCTAATATTTCTTACTTTAGATCTATTAGTTGTAGATGTTTTGTTCATAATAATGGTAAAAGAAACTTGGGAAAGTTTGATAAGCGAAGTGATGAGGCTGTATTCTTAGGATATGCCTCAAAAAATAGTAAAGCTTACAGAGTTTATAATAAAAGAGTAATGTGTGTTACAGAGTTTGTACATGTAATATTTGATGAAACTGAACAATTGATTGTTGTATAGGAAGGTGATGATGATTTTGAAATTAGACTTGTACAAAAGTATGATCCAGATGAAGAATCAACATCATTGCAGAAGAAGCACTCTGAAAAGGAAGGTGAAACGAATCCTGAAGCAACAGAGGAAGCACAAGGAACTTCACAGCAGAATCAAGAATAAGAATGGGTGGAAGTTCCTGAAGAAGTTCCAAATGAAACTCAAGTTGAAGTTCCTACAGAAGTACCAGTCAAAAATGCTACACAAGAGAGGTTGTATCCCATCAGAGATTCTCAACCTAAGTCTTGGAAGCATCAAAGTTCACATCCAGTGGAAGCAATCATAAGTGATGTTGCTAAAGGAACTCAGATTAGAGCTCAGTTTAGGAACTTCTGTGCATTCTTTGCATTCCTATCCTCCATGGAACCTAAAATCCATATAGAAGCTTTGACTGATGTCGACTGGATTAATGCTATATATGCAAGTTGAATTGAACGAGTTTGAAATAAACAAAGATTGGCATCTGGAACCTAGACCTAGTTATGAAAAGACTATAGGTCTCAAATGGGTGTACAGAAACAAACTAGATGAACATGGTATTATTGTCAGAAACAAAGCTAGACTTGTGGTTCAAGGGTTTAATCAACAAGTTGGGATTGACTATGATGAGACATTTTCTCCAGTTATAAGGTTATAATCCATTCGTTTACTTATAGCTTTTGCTGCTTACATGGGATTTAGGTTGTACCAGATGGACGTCAAGTGTGCATTCCTAAGTGGATTTCTTAAGGAAGACGTCTATGTGGAACAACCTCCTGGATTTAAAAATCCATAGTTCCCAAACCATGTCTACAAACTTGACAAAGCCCTTTATGGACTATAGCAAGCTCCTAGAGCATGGTATGAAAGGTTGTCCAAGTTCCTTTTGAAAAATGATTTTAAACATGGTAAAATAGATAAACTTTGTTTTTAAAATCAAATGGAACTGACATCTTAGTTGTAAAGATTTATGTTGATGATATATTATTTGGTGCAACTAACGAATCGTTGTGTAAGTACTTTGCTAACCTCATGGGTGGAGAAATTGAAATGAGCATGATGGATGAGTTAAATTTCTTTCTTGGTTTTCAAATTAAGCAAACCGAAGAAGGAATCATGATTCATCAACAGAACTATATTAAGGAACAAATTAAGAAATATAAGCTTGAGAATGCCAAAACCAATAGAACTCATTTGGGGGTTGCAACTAAACTTGATGAAGACCTATCTAGAACTTGCATAGATCAAACCATGTACCGAGGTATGATTAGCTCTCTACTTTAATTAACAACTAGTATACCTGACATCTCTTTTAGTGTAGGTTTGTGTGCCAGGTTCCAAGCAAACCCAAAGGAGTCTCACTTGATAGCAGTAAAAAGAATCCTTCGTTACTTAAAAGGAATTGATGATTTGGGTCTCTTCTATCCTAAAAGTGACTCATTTGAGTTAAATGGTTTTACTAACGCTGACTATGCAGGGTGACTTGGTTAATAGGAAAATCACTTCAGGTATGGCACAGTTTTTAGGATCGTGTTTATTATCTTGGGGTTCTAAGAAACAAAATACGGTTCCATTATCTACAGCTGAAACTAAATATGTAGCTGCAGCAGCATGTTGTTCTCAAATTTTATGGATAAAGCAACATGTTAAAGATTTTGGTAAATTATTTGAATGTGTTCCTATTTACTGTGATAATACAAGTGCTATATGTATTTCTAAAGATCCAGTTCAACACTCAAAGGTCAAACACATCCACATTAGGCATCACTTCCTAAAGGATAATGTGGAATAAGGGAATAAAGTTAGAATTTTGCCAAACTGAGAATCAAATTGCAGATATTCTAACCAAGCCCTTGAATAGAGAAAGATTTGAGAAATTGAGATTGGAACTTGGGATGATTAAGCTGACTTGATTGCTTCTGAAGTTCCAAGATATGGAAAAATTAGAAATATTGTAAAAAGAGCAAAAAGAGCATCTAGCACAACCTAGCTTGCTGTGCTAAACATAGCTAAAGTGTCACCGTTGGTGAATTCCTAGAGGTTAGTTCACTAACACTTGAATGCTTGTGTGATTAGTATTGTACATTGTATATGTGTATAAAGCGTGTTACAAATGCATCAGAATTTTGGAAAATCTTATTTTTGGAAATTAATTGAATTTGAAAAGAAAAGATTTTGTTAAAAAATTCATCCTGATTAATTTTGTAAAATAAATTGAAGTTGTTCAATTAAATGACTGAGATGTACCCATTCATATTACTTGCACTGCTTCATTAAATATAAAAAGAATCTTTCACCCACCTTATCACTCCACTGTATAATCACAAAAACTACTCTCTGTAAAAACCATTAAACTCGTTAAAACCCTAAAACCCTTAACCATGGCAATTGAAACCAGTAAGAATTCCATCGAGAAAATTCCAACCCCACAACATTCCGAACCAAAAGAAACATCACCTCTTATTATGGTGGTTTACAAATTACCTAAAAAGGCCGAAGAAAAACCCGAAGAAGTTCCTATAGCAAACACCCCCACTACTTCTACCACTAAGAAAAATCCAATGGAGAAGGAGAAGGCTTCAGCAGGTGTAGAGGCCTCCTCTTCAGATGTACTCAAAAGATTACAAGAGTGGAAAGAGAAGAAAACGAAGGCAAAATTGCTAGAAGAGCATATCAAGGAAGTGAAGGATTTTGCTGAGGGGGGATTGGAATTTGGAAAGGAGAAACACTTTAAAAACCTCTCTAATAAGCTGAAATTTTGGGTTAAAACCTTTAAAACTCTTTGTTTAAGTGGGTAATAAGACCATAAAGTAAAACTCATTCATGGTGTTTATATCAAAATTTTAGCACACTTTTTAAGATTTAAACCCCTCCAATAAATCTGAAAATTCCATTAAAACCAATTGAAACCTTCTTTACTTATGGGTAATTAAACCCTTTTCACAAAAACCACAAAGTAGTACTTAAATAAAATTCCAGCAATATTATTTTAATAAAAACTCATTTAAACTGCATAAAAACACAATCTTTAAGCTTTATTATCACTTACAATCAATGAGTATACAAAACCCCCAAATCAATTGCAAATTAGAACCCTAAAAATCAACTCTTTTATAATTAAAACCCTAGCTTTTAATTATTTTATAAAATCAGAAATTAAAACCCTTTATAATCTGAAATTTATACTCTTTAATCATTAAAACACAATTATAAAACATACTAATCATATTTCAATAATAAAAATCAAAATCCAAAAATACATATTGTTTCGGGGGTTTTTTGAGTCCCTCGGGAGAGTTACAATTCTGGGAATGCGCGCCTGACGTCTGTATCTGCAAAACCACGAAACTCTAGTTGGGGGACTTCCGCCTCCGACGATCAAGTTAGTATGATTCCGGATGGGTTAAAATGCAGAAAGTAAATGGGTTTTTCTCCCTGATTAAAAGAGATTCCGCAATTAATATTGCTCGGTTTTTTGTGTATATATTTATGAATGTATAATAAATGAGGAATTTCCTCTATTTATAGCAGGTGAAGATCTGCTCCCCCATTAGGGATACAATGCCACGTGTCAGCATCCGATAGGATCCTATTGGGCCTTTGAAGGGCTGCCACTTGTCAGCTTGCTATTGGGCCACATGGCATAGGGGGGGTTTTTTACCCCAAACATTTGCCCCTCACAGGTGTGACGTGGCTTGCCACGTGGCGCCTGTGACACGTGTCACACTCTGGGAATGTGATGGTTCGTCTCCTTCCCTCCATTTTTTTTTGAATTCGAATTTAAATTAGAGGGGGGAGGTGATGGTTCGCCTTCTACCCCCCTCCTATAAATTGGAGACCTCCTCTTCTCATTTGTTACTTTGTGAATTTTCACAAAATTTACTTGAGAGAAAAAAGCTCTGACACCGGCTGCTCATTCGTGCAACTAGCTTCTTCCTTCAGACGCACCCGGATACCGGCTGAGTACTTTGACCCTTTCTAAGGTACCGTCTTACTTAATCAATTTCTTCTTGATTTCAATAGAGTCACAGCTGGTCTTACACCGTCTGGGGCACTTTTAGGCAATTTCTTTCATTATTTGCACTCAATAGACCCACAGCCGGTAATAAACCGTCTGGGGCGTCTTCAAACAATTTGTCTTCAAAACTTGCATTCAACAGACCCATAGCCGAAATTATTCCGTCTGGGGCATCTTCAAACAATTTTCCAAAATTGCA